TCCACTGGCAGAGACTGAAGAGGACGCCAGTCCCCACCTAGTACAATGTCCGGAGGTAGTCATTGTTTGTACCTCTCTAGGTGGATCCCTCGCTGGCATGGGTGATGAGTTGGCCGCTCGTCGCCAAGCCTGGACTGAAATGAAGAAACGAAGAGGACAGCTAATAATTGCAGATCTTGAAGTAAATAAAGTAAGAGTTGGTGGAATGGTTGACACAGGGTCAACACGCAGCTACATAAGTAAAAAAGGTTTGCAAAAGTTGCGTCTCGGGCTTAAGGTAAAGCAATTGGATGAGCCCGTAGTAAGTAAGTTAGCTAATAGTACAGTAACTGTAATGGATAAGTATGTTGAAGGGGTTCAGAAATACTTCCGGCTCGAAGCAGAGGGGGAGGTGGAACGTGTTCTCCACTCTCTGACTTTCTTGGTGGAAGATAATCTTCCTTTTGACATTCTCCTAGGTATGGATTAGGGTGAAGCTGCGGATGCGGATGTGAAGCTAAGGGACCATGAGTGTTGGCTCCCTAGTCCGCAAGGTGGAAAGAAGAAAATCCGCCTTTTTCATGAATCAGGGAAGGAAAGGAGCTTAGCTTATTGTTGTATGACTGCCCCCGCGTTCGCCCGCCATGTGAAAAGGTATAACCTGTATGATCAAGTTTTTGTTGCATATGTGCGCCCAGTGAAAGAAGGTGAAGCTAAAGAAGAGGCAAAATACCCTGAGATTGAAAATTTTTTGAAAGAAGTCGCAGATGTGGCAGAGGCCCCAAGCGGTGTGGTAGAACGACCAATCAAACATCGCATCGAAATCATCCCAGGAAGCTCGATTCCTAAGGGGCCTATATATCGGATGTCACCTAAAGAGTTAGATGAACTGCGAGCCCAACTTGATGAATTGCTGGAAAAGGGGTGGATAAGACCTAGCTCCTCGCCCTATGGTGCGCCTGTGCTATTTGTACCAAAGAAAGACGGCGGCGTACGCATGTGTATAGATTATAGAAGACTTAATGATATAACAGTCAAAAATGTTGAGCCATTACCAAGGATAGACGATTTGTTGGATCGAGTGCAGGGTAGCAAGTACTTCACTAAGATTGATCTGAAGTCTGGCTATCATCAGATTGAGGTAGAGCCAGAAGACCAATATAAGACAGCCTTTCGAACAAGGTACGGGCACTATGAGTTCGTAATGTTGCCCTTTGGTCTTACAAATGCACCCGCAACTTTCCAAAGGACCATGAATGAGCTTTTCCGCGAATGGCTTGATAAATTCGTTGTTATATATCTTGATGACATTTTGATTTTCAGTAAGAATCTGAGTGAACATTGCGAGCACCTTCGACTTGTGCTAACTAAATTGCGTGAGGCAAAATTGAAGTTAAACCCGAAGAAGTGTGATTGGGCCAAGCGTCAGGTTTTGTATTTGGGGCATGTACTTGGCGGTGATGGGATCAAACCGGAAAATGCGAAAATTGCAGCAATCCGCGATTGGCCTAACCCCCGCACTTTGACTGAGTTGCGGTCGTTTCTTGGGCTGGCCAACTATTATCGGAAGTTCGTTAAACACTTCACAATAATTGTTGCGCCCCTTCGCAGATTGCTCAAGAAAGAAACAATTTGGAAGTGGGACTCAGACTGTACGGCTTCATTTAAGCGTTTAAAAAAATGTCTGATTAACTACCCGGTTTTGAAGGTTGCTGACCCTTCCTTGCCCTTTGTTGTTACAACCGACACCAGTCAGTACGGGATAGGGGCTGTACTCCAGCAAGATGATGGGAATGGGTACAAACCTGTAGAGTTTATGTCCCGACTACTGCCTAATGAGAAGGTCGCCGCTTCCACGTACGAAAGAGAGTTGTATGCTCTTCGGGAGGCTTTAGATCATTGGCGACACTATCTCTTAGGTCGCCACTTTAAAGTGTACTCAGATCATGAGACAGTTTGCTGGCTTAAAACGAAGGCCCGGATGACACCTAAACTGACCAGGTAGGCCGCAGAGATTGATCAATATGACTTTGAGTTAAAGCCAGTCATTAGATATGGGCACCGACTTGCAAGATAAAATTAGGAATGCGTATTCCACAGATCCTGTCTACGGCGCTATGGTTAAACGTGTGCAAGAAGCGCCACACGAGTTTCCTAACTACCGAGTTACGCAAGGACTGTTGTTTGAACAAACAGACGTGCATGACAGGCTTTGCATTCCAAATGTGGAAGAGATCAAGAGCTTGATCTTGGGGGAGTGCCATGATACTGAAGGCCATTTTGGCTGGAAAAAAACTTATGCGGGCCTATTGCGTTCCTACACATGGCCTCGCATGAAAGCTGATTGCATTGCATGTGTGCAAGGTTGTCAAGTGTGCGAAAGAAACAAGAGCACCACTCAACCTCCCCTTGGACTACTAAAGCCCTTGCCAATTCCAACAGGTCCAGGAGACTCCGTATCCATTGATTTTATGGATACCAAGGTAAAAAGCAGGAATGGAAAAACGCAAGTCATGGTCATCGTTGACAAATTTAGTAAGTATGCTGTATTCGTAGCATTACCAGCGGAAGCAAAGACCGAATTAGTAATCCGGGAGTTCTTTAACCATTGGGTAAAAGATTATGGACATCCCTTAACGATTGTGAGTGACACAGATTCACGATTTCCAAGTGAGCAATGGCAGCAACTCATGAATGTCTATGGCTCCAAGTTGACTATGTCATCAGGTAGACACCCTGAGACAAACGGCCAGACTGAGCAAATGAATAAGATTTTGCAGCAGACATTGCGTATGTACATCCGTCTCGACCAGATTGACTGGGATGAACATTTGCCTAAAGTTGCTAGTGCCTGTAATAACTTTGTTCACCTGTCTACATGCAGAACTCCAATGGAACTGCATTTGGGATGGCGACCATGTAGACCCATTGATCGCCTAAATCTGGATCAGGTGCATAAGCTTCCTCTAGGGACAAGTGAGTTTGCAATACAGTATCAACGAGATATTGAAAAGGTAAAGGAAAATATAGTGAAGGCACAACACCAAATGGTGGAACAGGCAAATAAGCATAGAAGACCATCTCAATTCGCTGTAGGTGATTTGGTATGGGTTAAATCCAAAGAACTCAGAAGTTACTACCCGCCTACAGAGGACCTTGGCAAATTCTTGATGTGATTGGAGAGGTGGATGAACCTTCTTATGTAATTGAGATTCCTCTACATTTGCATACGTATTCGGTGTTTCACGCCTCAAAGCTTCTACCTTGTGTGACAAATGAGTTGTTTCCCAGTCGCAGATCAGCGATACCTCCTAGTATGGATGGGAAATACGATGTGGATAAGATTGTTGCTGAAAGCACTTTCCAAACCGGACGAAGAGGCAGACCCCAACGACAATATAAAGTAAGATTCGCCTATCAAGACCCAAGCGAAGATCGATGGTTTACAAGAGAAGATTTACTTGAGTCTGCACCTCACATTGTGTCTGCCTATGAAAAAGCTAAAAGAGGAATAAGTATTATTGATAGATGAAGGTGTTCTCAGAGGACTTCGAATTTAGGCCGGCAAGAGTAAAAGGGCCTTTACCCGATTCAGACCCTGTTTGACGAAAACATCATAATGGGGTTCCTCGCCCAGAGCCCAATTCGTGAAAGCAGATCAAAAGGCATGTTCTCTGAGTCAAAGGTCACATCTTGACTAAAGTAAAGACAATGTCAAAGGTCATGGTTGGACCCTGGACAAGTAGTCACCATGTTTAGATTTGGAGGTCACATCTGTTCGCCAGGGGCAGTGCAAGTCATGTCTATTCAAACAAGGGATGTGTGGGTACGTGCAGTCCATGTGTCTGTTCGTGCAGAAAGAGTGTCTGTTCGTGCATTGGGTGTGTCTGTCTAGTCGAAGTCAAAGAGTTAAGTTCCAGT